CAGTGGCACACCTGCAGTCCCAGCTACTCCGGAGGCTGAGGAGGGAGGATTGCTTGAGCCTAGGAGTTTGAGGCCAGCCTGGGCAATATAGCAAGACCCTGTTAGATATTATCTATTTAGATGATAATAATAATGACCTGTAATCCCAGTACTTTGGGAGGCCTAGGCAGATGGATCATCTGAGGTCAGGAATTCAAGACCAGCCCGGGCAACATCGTGAAACTCTGTCTCTACTAAAAATACAAAAATTAGCTGGGCGCAGTGATGCATGCCTGTAATCCCAGCTTCTCAGGAGGCTGGGGCAGGAGAATTGCTTGAGGCGGAGGTTGCAGTGAGCCGAGATTGCGCCATTGCACTCCAGCCTGGGCGACAGAGCAAGACTCCATCTCAAAGTAATAATAATAATAATGATACATACTATTTTAGTCGAGAGTCATTTTTTCCTTTATCCATCTGTTGTTCACCAACTGTGTATCTCTTGCCTGGCCCAGAATTGAGAGATAATGAGGGGCCGAGACAAACTCCCTGTCCTGCCTGAAGGGATGTTCAGTATTGAACAATTGTTGCTTTATGGCTTTATGACAAAGCCCCAGTGCTCATGATAATCTTTGTACAGTGGTGGGGCTGTAGGGAGCCCTAACATAGCCTGGGGAAGGCTGCCTAGAAAGTGGAGACCTGAAGGCTGAGGCCATGTTAAGGATTTAGGTAGAATTTATGCACTATGGTATTTTTTCTTTCGTTAATTTTTTATAATTTACACATACACATGGTAAAATGTGTAACAAGGCACAGTGTTACATAGCAAACATAAGCCTCACTCCACCTTCTCTCTCCACCTACCTGTCCACCTTCTAGATGCAGCCGTTGTTACCAGGCCTTGCGTTTTCCTGCAGCCAGAGTCCATTTGTATCCCGCATCTATATTTTTTTCCCAGCATTGGTTTCCGAATGGGATCTTGCTACTTCGGAGGTTCTCCACCTGGGATGATTTGGCACCCCCCACCTTCCCACCCCAGGAGACACTTAGCAATGTCTGGAGATACTTGATGGTTACAGATGAACAGGGGGGGCCAGGCATGGTGACTCGTGCCTATAATCCTAGCACTTTGGGAGGCCAAGGCAGGTGGATTGCTTGAACTCAGGAGTTCAAGACTAGGCTGGGCAACATGGCAAGACCTCATCTCTACAAAAAATTTTTAAAATTAGCTGGGTGTGGTGGTGTGCACTTGTGGTGACTAAGGAGGCTGAGGTGGGAGGATCAATTGAGCCTAGGAGGTTGAGGCTGTAGTAAACTATGATCATGCCACTGCACTCCAGCCTGGGCAACACAGTGAGACCCTGTCTCAAAAACAAACAAACAATTATTGCCAATTAGTGGGTAGAGGCCAAGAATGCTGTCAAACATTCTATAATTCACAGGACAATCCCCACTTATCTGGTGGAAAATGGCAACAGTGCTGAGGTTGGGAAGCCCTGTCCTGCATAAGCACAGGGTCTGCACCTTGTGTGTGTGTATATGTGTGTGTGTGTGTTCTCATGTATTTTCTGGATCATTCACATTTCTAGATCCACCTCATTATTCTTTGTGGCTACATAAAAATCCATTACCTGGATGCTCCACCATTTTCATTTAGGTATTTGCACTCTTTCTGCTATTACAACATTTATGCTACAACGGTTATTCTTTTCCATGCACATGCCTTTGATGTGTGAGGTCAAGGGAGAAACCGATGGAGGTGGGATGGATGAACCCAATGGTTCATTAGCATTTTAAACAACCTATTAAAGATACCTTCAGTCTCTCTGGGGCACATTATGTCTGGAGAGTGGGTCTGGGCCCTGGCTGCTAACCAGGGCTGAGATCCTCAAAAGTCTGGTGGAGAAACATCCTCTGCATTCCTCGTGTACAGACAAGGGTGTTCTGACCACCTGTCTCTCCACAGGATGAGGGTGTCCCCCACCTGAAGACGACAAGCCGGGTCCTGAGTGATGCCCCTGAGCTGAGTGTCCAAGGCCGGCCCGAGGAACCCCCATGGCCCCACCTTTCCCCATGGAGAAAGGACTCACTTTGCCTCAGGACTGCCGGGACTTTCTGCACAGCCTGAAGATGAGAAGCAAATACGCTCTTTTCTTGGTTTTTGTGGTGATAGTTTTTGTCTTCATCGAAAAGGAAAATAAAATCATATCAAGGTGAGGGTTGCAAGCCCAAGTCTTCATCTTCCTTTCAAGGTGGGGTGGGTGGGGACAGGGAGGTAACTGCAGGGCTCTCTGTGGACCTGCAAATGCATTCCTTCAACAAGCCATCCCCAGGCCCCTCCTGTGTCCCAGGCAGTGGCTTCTGCACACGTCCTCATGACTGCACAGGGGCGAGACTTGGGCTCTGGACTCAAACAGCCTGGGTTGGAGTCCCCCGTGTTGGCCCTCTACAACTGTGAAAGGTTAGGCAAGATACTTCACATTTCTGAGTCTTCAGTTCCTCTTCTGTAAAATGTGGCTAATGATGGGACCAGCATTGTTGTAAAGAGTGAATGAGAAAATGTAAAAGCATTTAGCCCAGTGCCTGGCACATAGTTGGTGTCCAGTATTTGCTGGCTGCGACTATTACTATTAATTTACTTCCTGGCCTTGCATTAGCAGCACATCCCCTATAGAAGTCTTGATGTCATTGAACCCGTGGAAAGGCAAGGTCCTAGTATGGATACTCTGACGGGCAGGGCTGCCATGTGCAGCTGCCAGGCTGTGTACTGCTCAACTCCAGGAGCATGTCCCTCAAATAGGCTACCCTGGGAACGCCCCTTTACCTCTTTGAATTGGCAGCATACAGCTATGTGCAGTGGGCCTGTTAGATGTAGAAAGATTTCTTAGCCTGTTCTCCTCCCAGGCACAAGCCCTGCAAGAAAGCATTAGCTAAGATGGGTGGGTCAGGGATTGAGCAATACAGTGGACACTGTCAATGCCCCACTTGGGTCACTGAGCAAGGACCATTCTAACTTGTGCCTATTGGGTTCTACTGCAAGCCCCTACAGCTCTGCACCTGAGAGCTTTCTCGCCACCAGCACACTGGCAAGCCGGAAGTACTAGGGAGTAAATGTCCCCCCAGATTCCCATCAGACTGAGCCTCTGATGCCCACACCTGCTTCTAGCAGCATATCTGTCATGGACCTCTTTCCTCCCCTGCCTCACTTCCCTATCCAGTTCTTCCTGTGATCATGTCTCAAATAAACTAAGCACAAATCCTTGCCTGAAAGTCTGCTTTTGGGGAAACCCAACTGAGACAGATCTTGTTCATCTGCTTGGGGGACTGCTTCGGGTTGCCCAGGAGACGGGGTCCCCAGTCAGCCACTGACCCTGATGTTCTTTGTCCTCACAGGGTCTCAGACAAGCTGAAGCAGATCCCCCAAGCTCTGGCAGATGCCAACAGCACCGACCCCGCCCTGGCCTTAGCTGAGAACGCATCTCTCTTGTCCCTGAGCGAGCTTGATTCAGCCTTCTCCCAGCTGCAGAGCCGTCTCCGCAACCTCAGCTTGCAGCTGGGTGTGGAGCCAGCCGTGGAGGCCGCAGGGGAGGAAGCGGAGGAGGAGGGAAAGGAGGAGCCACCCAGACCGGCCGTGGCTGGGCCCCGGCGCCACGTGCTGCTCATGGCCACCACGCGCACCGGCTCCTCGTTCGTGGGCGAATTCTTCAACCAGCAGGGCAACATCTTCTACCTCTTCGAGCCACTGTGGCACATCGAGCGCACAGTGTCCTTCGAGCCGGGGGGCGCCAACGCCGCGGGCTCGGCCCTGGTGTACCGCGACGTGCTCAAGCAGCTCTTCCTGTGCGACCTGTACGTGCTGGAGCACTTCATCACGCCGCTGCCGGAGGACCACCTGACCGAGTTCATGTTCCGCCGGGGCTCCAGCCGCTCCCTGTGCGAGGACCCCGTCTGCACGCCCTTCGTCAAGAAGGTCTTCGAGAAGTACCACTGCAAGAACCGCCGCTGCGGCCCCCTCAACGTGACGCTGGCCGCCGAGGCCTGCCGCCGCAAGGAGCACATGGCCCTCAAGGCGGTGCGCATCCGGCAGCTGGAGTTCCTGCAGCCGCTGGCCGAGGACCCCCGCCTGGACCTGCGCGTCATCCAGCTGGTGCGCGACCCCCGGGCCGTGCTGGCCTCGCGCATGGTGGCCTTCGCCGGCAAGTATAAGACCTGGAAGAAGTGGCTGGACGACGAGGGCCAGGACGGCCTGAGGGAAGAGGAGGTGCAGCGGCTGCGGGGCAACTGCGAGAGCATCCGTCTGTCCGCAGAGCTGGGGCTGCGGCAGCCCGCCTGGCTGCGGGGCCGCTACATGCTGGTGCGCTATGAGGACGTGGCGCGCGGGCCGCTGCAGAAGGCGCGCGAAATGTACCGCTTTGCCGGCATCCCCCTGACTCCGCAGGTGGAGGACTGGATCCAGAAGAACACGCAGGCGGCCCACGACGGCAGCGGCATCTACTCCACGCAGAAGAACTCCTCGGAGCAGTTCGAAAAGTGGCGCTTCAGCATGCCCTTCAAGCTGGCCCAGGTGGTGCAGGCCGCCTGCGGCCCTGCCATGCGTCTCTTCGGCTACAAACTGGCGCGGGACGCCGCCGCCCTTACCAACCGCTCAGTCAGCCTGCTGGAGGAGCGGGGCACCTTCTGGGTCACGTAGGGGCGCCGGGGCCCCGTGTGCCCCTCCTCGTGAAAGGCCTGCCCCGCCTTTCTGCCGCAGCCCTCGCAGAGGGCGGGTGCGCAGCGCCGTGAGCGGGCAGCGCCTCCTGTAGCAGTAGGGCCCCCAGCCAGCGCTCCGCCAAAGCGGCGGCCCCAGGGTTAATCGCGGAGAACAGGACAGTGTCCGGTCCCCTTGAGGGCCATCACACCCAGACCCAAGGGTTTGCAGCCTCCTGAGCAGGCCCAGGCAGGCCCGGGCCTGTTGGCAAGCTTCGATCTCAGAGAAACATACATTTGTGCCTGGAGACCCTGCAGGCCAGAGTCCAAATATTTAACAACCAGAAGGGGCAAGGCTCTGACCAGTGACAGTCAGACCTCCTACTTTATTTGGTGTTAACCGTTTCTTGTCTGGATGGTGAAGTCTGGAATCTGGGTGGGTCCTTGGAGGAGGGGCCAGGACAGCCCTGGGTGTCAAAGGTGGCCTTTGAGGCTTATTTGAGGTGACAGTGGCTGTTTACCAACCAGTACAGAGCGATTCAGCATTTTCATGAATGGAATGGCTGGGTGAATCTGGGCCCCATATCGAGCTGAAAAACACACACATGCGTATAGACATGCATACATGTACGCCACACACAGACAAGCCTCATAAAGGCACAAGTGCACACACATCTATGCAGACAAGCTTCCTCGCTGCTTATGCCTACAGGGTTTTTCTGTATCACACACCTCAGAGGAGCCTGTGATTACATTTGTAGGATTATTTCGAGGGCAGGGCAGGGGAAGGAAATACGTTAAAGGGCCATGACATGACAGGGTTCCCTGGCCAGGTTTGGGACTGAACGGCGGATTCAGAACTGCAGCGTTCAAAGCCCCTGCCCGCCTTAGGTTCTCATGGCTACCTCCTCTGACCTATCCACATCCTTGCGGCTGGCAGGCAGGATGTTTTGAAATGGTGCAGCCAAAGGCCCTGACCAGCTTGGCTCGCTCCCGAACATGTCTATATTTGAAGGCTGCCTCAGGCCTGGCAGGGAGAGGCAGCTGTGGTCCCTGCAGGCAAAAGGCAGCTCATGGGGCCTTCCATTTCCAGCCAGGCCTCATCTGGGGCAGGGCCAAGAGGAAAGTACAGCAACAGGAAAGTACAACAACCCGTGGGGGAGAAGTCCCGCCAGGATGCACCCCTTCCCTGAGAAGCCCGCCTTCTCCCTCGTGGACAGGGTCGGCCAGCTGGTTGCCGTGGTTACAACCAGTGCCTGGAATTCCTCCTTAGGGCTCTGGGAAAAGTATTGCTCAATGCAGGATGTGCTGGGTGTTTTATTTGGGGTTTTTAAGTTATTTATGGCTTGGTGTCTTGTTTTGTGGCTGTGTTTTTGCTTTTGTTTCTGCAGGAGCGCCTCTCCCAAGCAGTGGGGGCCTGAGGGCTTGAAGGAGGCTGGGGAACACCAGCAGGGAGCACTCGGCTCCTGGCAGAGGGAGAGGACAGGAGGAGGAGCCTTCCTCAGGAGGAGCGAGGAGAGGTGGCCGCGTGGCAGGCCACAGTGCCCTATGGGCTTTTCTGTTTGAACCCCATGTGGGATGAATCTCAAAGCCACCAGCGTTCTGGCCTAGTGTCCAGAGCAGCAGAGATTTGCAGCCCTCGCCCCTCCCTGAGAAGAAGCTGGATTTGAAAATCCCTCACAGGCCCTAACATGTTTCCTGGGTGGGCAGAGGCCTCATGATCAAGCAGCAAGTATACCCAGAGTAGAAGCCCTTCCCCACTCCCACCTCAAACCCAGGAGCAGAGCTCAGTGTCCAGAGCTTGTAAGGGTTTGCTGAGGGCTGCCCAGCCCTGTTTCTGGTTTCCTGGACAATTTCTCTGTCAGATACGGCCCATTGTAAACCCAGAGGGCTGCATTTTGGGTTGAGTAATACGGACACTGGGGAAGTACAGAATGAGTCCAGCATTGCCGTGGGGGAGGGAAGAGTGTGTCCTGGCAGGAAGCCACCATTGGAGAAGGTGAGGCCAGTAACCGTCTCATGGGATTTGCAATCATCAGCCTATTTGAGCTGCTGGGTCTCTGTTACTGTGGACTCCAGTCATTCAAGGAGTTCTCCACTCTTGGGTATTTTTTTTCTTTTCTTTTGCTATTTTGCCTGAACACCCCAACACTCTTGGTTTTAGAGGCCAAGAGTAAGTTGTGCAGAGACATGGTTCTAATTTGGAGTTCAAAGGAACACCAGCTCTGAAAAGGTGACTATGGGGCCAGGATGTTTCTGGCAGGCTCAGAAGTGCTGGCTGCTCTTCCCCAGCCTCCCCACTGCTCCCTCCTCTGTTCCCCATGTGGAGGTGAGGGGTGCTGGGACTGGGGAGAGGGCAGCCACCTCCATCCAAGGCTCTTCCTAGGGGCCTTGCTATTGTGGACAGCAGACTTTATCCCTCCTTCTTACTCTGGGCCAAGACCTCCCACTCTGCTCTCTGAGGATGGTACCAAGAATGGGCCTTTGGGACTTCTCAGGACATTGACAATGTGCACACTGCAAGTTGACTTAATTTATTTATTTTGTGAAAAGAAGAGACAGAAAATACCTTATTATCTGCAGGGACTCAACGCTGTACCCGAATCAAGAAAGAAAATAACAATAGAAACCATTCACACACTCTGTTCATGCACGGACACCAGAAGACGATTCAGAACACCAGAGGAGAATAAGCCGGAGTGCCAGCACCACGATGGCCCTGGCACGTTGTTTAAGATCTGAGATCCCTTGGTTTCTCTCATGTTTATCTGAGATGCCACATCAGGGCCCTTGCTGCTATATTACCTCTGCCCGGGTGTTTGAGACCGGTCACAAGTGCGTGGGTGTTTCCTGGAAATGTATTCCCCTGGGACTCAGCGATGCTCTGGGAACCGTTGGGGTTTGGGGAAGGACAATGTGGTGTGACTATTGGCCTGACACGTTGTGGATGTGGTTGGAGTCATCCACGTGGACACGATTTTCAGCTTGGAGCTGGGATGGAGAAGATGGAAGCGCTGGGGGCCGGGCCTCCTTTTCCAGCAAGGCTGGCCCTGATTTCTCCTCTGTTCCAGCTTGTCTGCCAGAAGCCTTCCCCTGCAAACTGCCCACCTGCCCGGAGACAGAGGGAGCAGCTGAGGCCTCTCTCCACTGGCCGCCAGCCTCCCCAGCACAAGAGGACTATTCAGCTATGAGTGTTTACTCATGTTCTTTCTTATTGATGAGTTCTGCGGCCCAGCCTATAGAAATGGCTCAGAACATTCCAGGCCTTGGTGAGACAGAGCAGCATCCAGCACTCACAGGCTGTCCCCGCTCTACCTGTTCCCATCTTCCCCTTGGGGCCTGTTCATAAATTGAGGAACGGATAAGGGCCCTGGAGGGTCCTTGGGAGTAATTAGTGGAGGGCAGGATTCCCAGGTCCCCGTAGAGAGGGAAGGAGAAGCCCACGTGTGCACAGAAGCCCGTCTCTGTCACACACACACCGCAGGTGGTCACCGATTTATTTTCCAAAAGCTTAGAAATATAAAGCAAATTTAGGCTTTTGTCCCTCTGCGATACATGCACTTGAAAATAAACAGAAAAGAGATGTTTAATAACAAGTTTACTTCCTGTCTGCTAGCACCCTCAGCCTGGGAGGTACTGCCAGAGGCTGGCGTAGGGGAGCAGCTGCTGACCAAACCCCACAGAACGGAGGCACCGGCATCACACGACATCTTTCCCTCCCATCTCGGTCATCTATCTGTCTGGCAATGGAAGGAGCTCCAGCAGGAGGTCCTTCCCAGAAGGCTGATTCTTGGCCTGGGTGGTAGAGGAGATATCCTGACCCTAAAGTCTTCCAGCCCCAGGTCATCCTCTGCTATGCTGGGGTCTATTGACCGTATAGGCCAGGTGCGGTGGCTCAGGCTTGTAATCCCAACATTTGGGGAGGCCAAGGTGGGAGGATTGCTTGAGCCCAGGAGTTGGAGACCAGCCTGGGCAACATGGTGAGACCAATTGACTGTAGGGCTTGTCCCTTGCTAGAACAGGAGCAGAAGACTGAATAGCTGTGTCCTCAAGGCTGTCCCCTCCCACCCCCATTCCCAAAGTCAGAAAGCGAAGCCAGATCTCAAAGGCTGATACCTGAGGCAAGGAGAGCTAAGGGGAGAGAAAGCGGGGTGGGATAGGAGTAGACACCTTCACAAGCCAAGTGTGTCTTACAGATCTGTACAAGCTGATAGAAGGACCGCCTGCTGAAATCCAGGGCTCCTGAGTTGATGGGTTTGCTTGTGAAGCTTCTAGGACAAGGCGCAGCCAGATGGAAGGGAGAGGATCCAGGACTTCCTAAATGCAGCCGCATCACCTCTCAACTCGCTGCAGTTTCAGAGACAGTGGAAGCTGCTCTTTACCTCAAAAGCACAAAGCAGAATTGGCAACTTCACATGTCTCAAGAGCTTCAAGATCCTTTGGTCTCGTGTCCCTTGGCACCCCGCAACTGTATGGGGGACAAATTTGTTACATGTTTCCAAGGCTACAGACATGGTGCCATCCTCACGGGCCTAGCTCATGTGAGGTACTTTGTGGATCAGGTACTTTGCTGGATCAGGTACTTTGTGGATCAGGTACTTTGCTGGGGGGATACAATGACCCAGGTGGTCTGAGTCCTCTGCCATTGGTTTGAACAGGGCACCCCCTGAAGTCTCCATCTCGGCTGTATAGTCTAGTCCAAATTTGCCTGGCTCCCCCGCTCCCTCCCAGGTCCTGCACACTGTCTTTTTGCCAACACCTCAGCCCTGTGTGCTATTTCATGTCTGCATGGTACGAGACACCGCTTCACGGCATATACTGCCACGGTATGTACATATGCATCCACGTGTATGTGTAGCATGTAGCTCATTCTGCTCAGCCTCTGGTGCCGTTCCACATTGCTCCCAGCCCCACTGCTATCACTGTCGTCCCAGATGTCCTTGCCATGGCCACAGACAATCTGCCGTCTCCTGGAAACGCCGGGGCTGCCCTTCAGAGAGCTGGCAGCCACTGGCAGTCAGGGCCTGCTTTGCAGAATAGAATGTGAACCCATCTCCTGATGGCCTACTTGACTTATTTAATTAAAGATGAAAACATGCAATGAGCAAAACCTGCAGCGTGTCTCTGCCTTTTCCTTTGCATTTGTTCTCAGCAGCAATTGGGTCACAATTTTTTTTTTTTTAATTGATGGAAGGGAGGTGACTTCCAGCATGAAGCAGGACAGAGAATCCATTCCCTGCCCATTCCCAAAGGATCAAAGGCACCAGGGGAATATGGGCAGGATGAACGTTCCTTGCGTTACCAGGCTGGCAGAGCTGGTGGGGACTGCGCTGGGGGGAGAGAGAGAAAACCCAGGTATTTGGGGGCAGAGACAGGTGCATTGGGCCAGCGGTCAGGGGGCCTGGGGATGAGTCCCAGCTTTGCCACTGTCTGGCTGTGTGACCTTGGATGAGTCACTGCCTTTACTTGGACACCAGTTTCCTTTTAGAATGAAAGTATAATCAGTTGTTCACATTGTTCCCAAAAAGCCCCATCAGGGATTCAAAAGTCAGCTGAAAGGGCAGGCGGCACGCGCTCCACGAGAGCCACGGTGCGTTTTGATCTGCTTTACATGTTCAGATAGCATTTCAGATTTATTTGGCCTTCAACTAAATCTCCAAAAACACATGAGAAGATTGCCAAGGACCCTTTCAGCTAAGAAATTGAATGGAGTCCTTTTAAAT